GTTAATTGGTTTCCCTTTTCTTTGTTGAAGAGGGTCTGTGCAGTCCTTCTGCCTAGTCCGCCATCTTGCCGGAACTCCGGGCGAGTCTTGGGTTCTTTAGCTATAAAAGGAGACTGATAATTTGTGCCTTCTTTTACTGTCCTGAGAATCAAGTGAGAAGGTATATGCCAAGCAGCAAGTATGGAGGCATTTGATAAAGATTAGTTCCCTCACTTTCCTTCTCCCAAATCTGGTGCCTCTTCCCCACTCCTTATTGGTAGCTATCAGGCTTTAGCTCCCGTTTTTGGCTGGGGAAAACCAGAAACTTATCTAAACACTAATGATGGTTCTTTTTCTTCGTTTCTTGCTAATGTCCACAATAACCATGTCACTAGGGCCAAGGAATGGCTAGAAAGCACCAGAGCAAGCCACACATTGGTGGATGATATTGGAAGATTCCAAAGAATCTAAGGAAGTGGCAATGATTTGTCCCATCCTTTCTCTTGCTTCCCTGCTGTCCCTGCCCCTGCCTTCTTTCTCCCACAGCCAAAGGTGCAATGAAGCAGAGCAGAGAAAAGGACTTTTGAGGGAAAATTGAGGTGTCCAGTTAGGAAAAAATAGATTTTTCAACTTAGAAAAGTGCAAGCCCTGATGATAATTTACTGAATAGAGCAACACAGTGCAGATGCTAGGTGCTATGGTGCTCTTCCCCAGTAATAGCCGACCTTTTCTCAGCCTTTATTCCACCCTTCTCTTTCTTTCTTTCTTTTTTTTTTTTTTTTTGTGAAATCATGATACATCTGAAGTGTCAATGGGTAGTTAAGTAGCCCAACACATATGATGTTTCCTATATAAAGCATGCAATTGGTTTCTCTGGCAACAGATAGTTGACTTTGGTGCATCCACTTGTGAATAAAGAGAGCTATCTTTATTAGCAAATTCAGAGCCTTTAATTATAAAACAGTCTCCTCAAAATTGTATAGATGATTAGGTATTAAAATGTTGGTTGTTTAACATAGAAACTTTAAATTCTTATTAAAATGGAGAGAAATTCATTTCGTGCCATCTCTTACACTGCCTTATGCTAGAATGCATTTCTCAATGGCTCTTATTTAGAGATGGCTTCCACTCAGAATGCATTCTATGCATCAAAAATCAACACAAATTTTTTTAAAAACATATAAATGTTGTTCATTATGAACCACAGGATACAGTAAAGCAGCTCAAATTTTTGTAAGGGAAAAAAAATCATGAAGTAACATAACAAGGAATACCAGTGTGGAAATCAGAAAACAGGGCCCTAGTCTAAAGTCTGTCCCTAACTAGCTTTGTAACCTTGGGCAAGCCCAGCCTTTCTCTACCTGGGTGCCTTCCATACAAAATTAAGAAAAAGGGACTGTCGATGTTATAAATTCATCTATTTGATGGTGTCACCCTATTACTGCAATTAGGCTTTCAGCTGTAGAGAAACTGGGCAGGAGTAGCTCAACTAAGTCTGAAAGTTAAACTGGGATATTTATTTCCTATAGTCCAACTAGTAGTCTAATCAGTAAAGCTGTTAAACTTGCAATAGTATTTCAGTGATGTGTACCAGAGCGTGGCAAGTTATAAAATTTCCAATTTAATTTTACTGCATCCCTGAAGCCGTAGTAATTAGAAGACAAACTCACAGTGAAGATGTTTACAGCTTCAGGGGTGATAATTTTGAACCTGTCCTGCAGGTCACTTCTGGCCTCAAGGTTCCCCGACTTGACAGCTGCCCGTAGACTCAGGATTTTATGGTAATACATCAGTAACTCATCATCCATATGATGGGAGCAGATGTAGATGACGTTCACATTGTCATCTAAAACAACAGGTACAATGTTAATTACTGGAAAAAAGGTAAATGACATTATGAACTCTGGCATTGAGCTGACGTTGAGCAGTGTGAAATAAAGAGCGTATCTGAAAGCCACAATGAAGTTAATTTAGATTGGTTTGTACAAATCTTGGCAATTTAACTGACTTTTCTGCACTTTAGTATTTCTCAAAAGAAAATATAAATAATACCACCACCAACAAAATAGACAAAATGATTCCTTCAGAGGGAGGGCTGGAAGTACCATGGAAGTGTACTTTCAAATAATACATAGGGATTTAGCCACACAACTCCCATTAACATCAATGGGAATTGCATACTGCTTTAAAAAGTTATCTCATTAACTCCAGTAAATTATAAAACAGAGCTATTAACTTCAGAAAGCCGATGAAACTGCAATTTCTTATTCTGCCTGGACTTGACAGGGCCAATCCAGGGAATGTCTTGTCCAAATAAACTGTCTGATTATGACCAGAACAATGATTCTTTCAGGAAACCAGCTTGTTCTCTGCTTCATTCCCAAAGAGGAGGATTTATTTAAATAGCATATCTAGTGATTCTTGGTTTAAAGGAAACACTCTCTTAATTTAACTGTTGTCTGTTTCAAGATGTACTTCTGACTAAGCACATAGAAAGAATCTCATCTGAATGGAATAGTAGTAGGAAATTGCCCACTCAATGCTGCATGTTTTTTTAAGGCATATGGACAGGAAATCAGCAGCCAAGAGTCCTTCATTCATTTGATAGCTGATTGGCCAGTAGGATCAAAGTACTTGGGTAGACGTGGAGAGAAGTACAACAATCAAAGTGACTGAGATGCTGCCTTAGAGAGCAAGCATTTCATATGTACAAACAGCTGTAAAACACAGGGAAGAGTGGTGGGCACAATGAAACTTATAGACTAGGTACTTAGAGTTTATTAGGAGGGAATGCATTAAATGTTTCCTAGTTTAGGTAGGGCTGGGAAAGCAGCTTAAGACTCCTTTCTTCAATCTGGCAGAGTGTACAGCGTATGTTGTTGTTGTGTGCTGTCAAGTTGATCTTGACTCATAGCAACTCTCTATGACAGATTAGAACTGCCCCATAAGGTTTGTAGGCTATAATTTTTACAGAAGCAGCTCACCAGACCTTTTCTCGCATGGAGTGGCTGGTGAGTTAAAGTACTAACTTTTCAGTTAGCAGCCACGCACTTAACCATTTTGCCACCTGGGCTGGCATTTTGGTCATCTAGTGCTGCTCTAACAGAAAATAACACACAAATGCATGGCTTTAACAAACAGAGATTTTTCTCTTATAGTTTATTGTTGTTCTTGTTATGTGCCTTCGAGTTGGACCCGACTCCTAGCGACCCCTCCTTGGGCTTCCGAGGCAGTATCACTACAGAAGTAGATTGCCCAGGGCAATCTTCCTTCCAAGGAGCGGCTGATGGGTTTGAACCACCAGCCTTCTGGTTGGCAGTCAAGTGCCTTAGGCACTATGCTACCAGAGCTCCCTTAGGAGGCTAGAAATCCAAGTTCAAAGCGCCAGCTCTAGTGGGGCTGAGTGAAGGCCACTTGACCTTGGGCTTCAGTTCTGCCTCTTGCTCCCAGCCACAGGAGCTGAAGGCATCTCTTAAGTCAGGCAGCTGCTAGCTGTTGAGGCTAAGAAACCCAAGGTTGACAAGTAAAACGACATAGTCCCCAGACTAGGAAGCAACACAGCAGGTCACTAGTTCAAGTCCAGAAACAGTCCCAAGATCGTAAGCAACATGGCAGGCTGCTGATGGCACAGCCAAATGCAAGCTCCAGATGTGTCAAGAAGCTTAGAGACTTTTCTCAAAGCTTCTCCTTATACACTGGAAAAAGACCACACTCCTAAGGCTGCTACTCAGCTGCTCACAGCAGATTCCACCATGGAGTTGATTACCAGCCTCATCATGGGATATGCTCCATCCAGCTGCCCAGCCACTCAAACCAGGCCCAGTCAAGTTGACACAAGCTGGTTAAGTTCTGGCTCAGCAGCCTTGTAATGCTGGGGATATTATTTAATTATTTAACATTTCAAAGCATTCATTTCTTCATCTGTAGAATGGGAATAAGTCTACCTGCTATCCAGAGTTTTAGAGAGTATTAAATGAAAGAATATGCAAAAAGCATGTTGTACACAACCTGGCACACAGTATGTGTACAACAAATAGTCCAGGTGCATGAATATGCTCCACTGCCCACCCTGACTAGGCCAGCCAACAGTGATTCCCACCCTGCCCCTGAATTTGTGCTTTTAATCAGTGCTTCAAGATTTAACACAACTAAGTAGTGTCCTCTCTTTCATCCTATTGTTTCAAATGCATAAATCTTGAATCTCTAAGTTCCTGAAAGGCAGGGAGCAAGTTTTATGCCCTTTTCTTATTCCCCAAACCTTGGTAAGGAGCAAGGATATCTCCTTGAGGACTAAGGTGCGCCTGACACAAGCCATGATATTTCCAGTCGCCTCGTATGCATGTGAGAGCTGGACAAAGAATAAGGAAGACCGAAGAAGAGTTGATGCTTTTGAGTTGTGGTGCTGGTGAAGAATGCTGAGAGTACCATGGACTGCTAAAAGAACTAACAGATCTGTCCTGGAGGAAGTGCAGCCAGAATGCTCCTTGGAAGCAAGAATGGCCAGACTTCGTCTCACCTATTTTGGTCATGTTGTAAGGAGGGACCATTCCCTGGAGAAGGATGTCATGCTTGGTAGGGTGGAGGGTCGACGAAAGAGGGGGAGGCCTTCAACAAGATGGATTGATACGGTGGCTGCAATGATGAGCTCAAGTATAGCAGGGATTGTGGGGCTGGCGTGGGATAGGGCAGTGTTTCATTCTGCTGTGCATGGGGTCGCTATGAGTCGGAAACAACTCGATGGCACTTAACAACAACAACAAACCTTGGTACAGTGTGAAGTACACAGAAGTTACTCAATAAGTACTTGGGGTTGATGGAAGTGATTTGGGAGGACAGATGGGGAAGTGAAAAGTTTTACACACTTACAGAGATCTACAGTGTGTAGGAGAAAGCTCCCCCTCCAAGAGCAGGCACTTTGTGGCCAGAGGCAACGTCTTTGGGATTGGCCCAGTATTGGGTCCAGAGTAGGTGCTTGGTAAATGTAAACATTTAAGTGATTCCTATTTACCAGAAAGCTGGCGGCTCAAACGCATCAGCCACTCCTCAGAAGAAAGGTTGGGCAATCTACTTCCATAGTGATACCACTTCAGAAACCCAAGGAGGGGTCGCTATAAGTCGGGTCTGACTCAATGGCACATAACAACAACAACATTTAATTTTAAAATCAAATTTCCACAGAAACCTCAAAATCGATCAACTGAGGAGACAGTAGTTAATTAACTTGTTTCAAATTGCTGAATGAGCAAATCAGTTATCCCAGATCTTGTGTTTTCAAGAAGAAAATAGTGTCTTACCAAACCAGTGATTTTTAAAACCAAACTAGCAGTATTTTAAAAAGTATAAAAGAACAAGATGCAAAAACAATGGCTTAGAGATGCCATAGCAGAAGAAAAACAGACTTTTCTTGGGAAGACATTTCTAGTTCACAAATGATACCAAAGCACATTGCTAATTTTCACCTTTCCTGTTCATTTCTGGCAAAGGAATACGTATCACTAATAGGTGTCACAGTGGTTGAAGCCTCCAGCCGGTAACCAAAAGGTCGGCGGTTCCAACCCACCAGTGGGAGAAAAATGTAGTGGTTCTCTTCTGTAAAGATTTACAGCCTTGGAAATCTATGGGGGCACTCCTACTCAGTCCTATAAGATTGCTATGAGTTGGAACTGACTTGATGGCAGTGGATTTGGGTTAGTTTAATACTAATAGCAGGTTTAATGTGGCTTGATCATGAATATAAAAATGTTCAAAATTAATTGACAGGTAATTTTGGAAATGAACTAATTAAGATGAAAGCTGAATTGACTGGTGGTCAGTCGTCAATATTGGTCACTCTCTTGCTTAACTCATCCAGGAACTAAAAACATGTGCTATAGAGATTGCCAACTGATGCCCTTCACTTCATAGTCAATATTGGAATGACAAGTTTTACCAACATGATTGGCTTATCTTGTTTCCCCTGAATAACAGAAAAGTTAACACCCTTTAACAGAAATGAATTATTTTTTTTAAAAGAAAGGATAATCATTTATTCTTCCACAAAATTCTAATTTTTCTAGATTTTCATATTTTTATTTCACAAGTAATTTTTTCTTCTAATTGCTATTTCTAAATGTTTGTTACTCCTCTTGAAAAGGTTTTGTGATTGCATTGCTGTATCAATAAGACCCAAACTCACTGCTGAGTTGATTCCAACTCACAACACCCCTGGAGGACAGAGTAGAACCGTCCCTCAGGGTTTCCAAGGCTGTCAATCTTTACAGAAGCAGACTGCCTAATCTTTCCCCCATGGAGTGGCTGGTAGGTTTGAACCATCAACCTTTTGGTTAGCAGTCCAATGTTTTAACCACTACACCACCACAGCTCCTTTTGTCACTAAGACAGTGTAGCAAGAAAAGGCATTTGGTACATAAAAACAAAACTAAACAAACTCACTGCGGTCGAGTGGGATCTGACTCATAGCGACCCCTCCTTGGGATTCCGAGGTGTCATCACTATGAAAGTAGATTGCCCAACCTTCCTTCTGAGGAGTGACTGGTGGGTTTGAACCACCAGCCTTCTCGTTAGCAGTCAAATGCTTTAGGCACTACACCACCAGAGCTCCCGTTTGGTACATAATCTCTCTGAATTTTCATTTCAGCAAATTTTTCCATTGCAGGTGAATACAGATTGATTTACTGAATTGTTTTAAATAGAAGTCTAATATTTGTCAGTCTTTTCCAATAATGGAAATCTTTTGTAAAGGAATTCTTTGGTGATGGTTTGTACTATATATAGAAGGGTGTATATAAAAAGGTATATATAAAAAGCTGAAGAAAAAAGTTAATTCAAATCAATTAGAGCAAAGTCTGCCCTCTGCTGCACCTCAGTGGTTTCCACCCAGTCAGGTTTTTAGTTGAAATAGCTCAGCACAAACAAATCAATCTCAAATCATTAAAATTTTTTTTTTTATAATGCTGAAAAAACAATATTAGAGCCTAGATAATAGATTAAAGCAATTACACTATTATTATTTTAGGACACTGTAAATTTCTAGTACTGATGTATTTTTGTTACCAAATGGCATTTATAAAATAATAATGATGCTGAAATATATATGAATCAAATAAAGTATGCCATTCCAGGGAGCCAGCTAAATTGGTCATTGATAATTTAAAATTCTCCCTTGTTTTACTTAAATAAGGGCCAAAGCAATTATATTTTAACAAAACAAAGAAATTCTTATTTGGTGATTAACAGAAACCTTAGGAGCTCTGGTGGCTCTGGTTTAACCCTGACTATTTGGCTACTACCCCCAAACCTGACCCAATGTTATGTGTGTCTTATTGTATAGGCTTTGCAACTTATATTCTTTTAAGTGTAACCGGAATCCTGGTCTCGAACAGTTACTAATCAAAGCCACCAAACTCAAGCACCTTTTCTCCTAGGCCCAGACTGGTATCTGATTTGGAACTGATCAAAGTCATATTAGAACTTGACTTTTACAAAGATGTATCTTTCACATAGTCAAGGTTCTATTTCTAAGAATCCCCTCCACATAGCCATCTTTCATTTTCGAATAATTAGATGATGTACATTTAAATAAAGGGAGCTCTGGTGGCGTAGTGCCTAAGGCATTTGACTGCTAATCAGAAGGCTGGTGGTTCAAACCCACCAGGCACTCCTCAGAAGGAAGATTGGCAATCTACTTCCATAGAGATTCTGCCTCAGAAACCCAAGGAGGGATCACTATGAGTCAGAGACAACTCGATGGCATATAACAACAACAACATTTAAATAAAAGTTTCTTTTAAGAATCTATTTTCGTTTCTTTCTTTTCTTGCATTGCAAGCACAGTGCTTCATTTCTGGTGCCACCTTCCACTCATTCCCAAGATAATATAATTAATATTATTGACACAAATAGAGTATTTTGACCTAACTTACTGCAAGATCCAGTAAATGGAGATGATTTGGAGTTGTATAAGAGAGAAATTCTTTTTTTTTTGTTCTATTACTTTTTTATATTTATAATAAAAGAACATTTCATGAGATAACATACAGATAATATTTTTAATATCTTATCTGCCCTTCCAGATTCATTCTCCATCCTTCTCTATGCCCCAGGAGGCTGATTTGTTTGACCACAAGAATGGACCACATTACCCTTCAGCTTCCAGGGTTGGAAGTGGCTCCAAAGGAGAGTGAGGTGAGGGTGGGATGCGGTGAAGCCTCCATCCCATGCAGAAAGAGCATTTAATTCCCGACATGATTTAGAATTACTTCAAGAGAAAAATTCTTATCCAAACCTGAAGCAAAGAGAATTTAGAAAACTGCCCAAGCAAATTGGTTAAAATACCAATTTTTTCAAGTTGACTTCACTGTAAATCTGTTCTTTGAAACAAAAGATTCAATTGCCCTGAAAGTAGATTAATTACCCAAGCTTTTTCCTCATAGTGAAAATATGAGAGAATCAGTCTGTACGTTGCATTTTTCAGTGCAGAAAACAAAACAAACAGAAAACCCCCCAAAAAAATCTTATAAACAGCTGGAAGAGTCATTTGTGTAAAAGTATTTACTGTACCAAAGATGTCACACAGTCTCCCCAGCTGCATGTTCTGCCGTGTGTCAAAATCAGCAATATGTTTTCGCACAGGCTGGGAATATCCTAAAAAGCAAACAAGGTGTCAAAAACAGAACCCAGAAAAAAACAAGTCAGTGTAAGAAAATGATGCACTAGAATTTCAAATAGTTACAGTCCACATTTTCAGAATTTCTGTGAAGCAGAAGCAATACAACTCCTTAGAATGAACTCGTTGCTTCTTTGGGGCTGGAGCAGTGTGCTGCAAGATGTGCTGAGCAGCATATTCTGCGACCCGGAGTTTATATTTTTTCAAAAATGCCAGCCTAGCTGCTGGGAAAATTTCTGACATTTAACATGAATGCTGAAAACGGCAAGTAAGAATATTATGCTCAGCTTCAGAGAAATTGTTTTAGCTTTTCAACTTGGGCTTCCTATGTGATATTTTGAAGATGAACCCTAGAATCTTTCTAAACTGACATAGAACCACCCCTTGCTGCCAGGAATATATATTTAAATAATACTAAATACTAAGGAAATATGCTCCTGTTCACAGTCAAGAGAACTTTTAACCTTCAAAGGGCAAGAAAGGTTAATGCAGTTACTTTGTCAGTACTAATTAAAGCTCTGCAATTTGCCTTCGTTTTTGTTGGAACAGCACGGAAGGAAAACATATGGATTACTATTGTCCAAAAATCTTCTGCAAGAGATACAGCAGCAGCAACACTTTCTGCTGATTATTTAGGTCTTTCAAAAAAGGGGAAGGAAAAAAAAAAGTGGATCAAAACATGAACTTAAAAGGCATGCATGCGTACAAACAGGTATAATTGCCTATATGAAATTCAGCAATTGTAGGTGCAACCTTTTTTTTTTTAAAATAAAATTGCTTTTCACATTTTGAAGAGATGCTTCAATGCCTCCTTGTGGTTAGTGAGCCCAAACACACGTTTCAAGTTAAACTGCTATAGATAAAGTGATTTTATATACTACATCTTCGAGATGTGACACAGATTTCCTTTTCAGCATAAGGAACACTATAGTAATTCAGCCGACAGGGCTTCAGATCAAATGAACTCTGATAATTGGCTCTTTGCTTTGATGTCAGTGTTTAAACACTAGACAACGTCTGGAAATTAAATGAGTTTACAATTCATCTGAAAGTCTCCCTTTCACCTTATGCATATGAACTTAAGAACCAAAGAAGCAGAAGGACAAATGGGTTGTTTGAATTATTTTAGAAAAATTAATTTCTCAAATAATTTATGTCACTATTCTATATATGAAAGCTAAAATAGAACTTCAAAGCCATATTTATGTATGTTTGCATACATATAACTCTTGGGATTTTGCCTATATATAATTCTATCTATAGTCAGAGAAATATTTAGAAGGTTGTGTTGTGAATAACATATAAGAAGGCAGGAAAAAAGCCTAAAGAATAAAGTATGATTAAGAAAGTGTTTGAGAGCATTCCGTGAACACATTTCCTTTCAAAAGTAAAGATAAAAGGCAGTGTGAAATGTCTCATTAAGATGATGTTCAATTTAAAATAGAAAAGATGTCTGATCACTCTGTTACCGCACATACAGCATGTGAGTGAATAAGGCTATCTTTCCAATCAAGTGCTTGAGGTCAGTTTTCCAACAAATTACTTGGTACCTCTGTTACCACTGTTCAAGGATGCATATAAAATGTCTGCTTAGAATTGTGATCAAACTGGTTGCTCAGTGACCCCTAGAAATATACCCATTTCAATGAACTGAATGTTAATCACCTCCCAGCATTGTTATAAGAGGATAATATGAAGTAACAGATGTGAAAGCATTTTGTAAACTGTGAAGTGATATATAAACATAAAGTATTTTAATGTTACGAGGTATGTGCACTGCCAAAGCATACAACAACAAATTTGGTAACAAGTAAAAGATCATTCTAAGTGGATAAGATACATTGCCAACATCAGAGCAGAAGTTTGGAGTCAATTTTTTAAAAGTTAGATTTATTCTTATTTTTTGTGCATCTAAAAGATATATGTATTGACAACCAGGTGAAAAGACTTCATCAATGCTGGCAGCATATATTAAATACAACAATGACTTTACCAAGAAATTATCAACAGGGATGCTTTAGCCTAGAATGGTTTGGCAGTCATGCCCAGTGTCAATGAGCCATCACACTTTGGAATATAATCTACAAAGATATGATTACCCCATAGGTCAGACTTTAATACTGGGGTAGTTTTGAGAGACCATCTACCTCAGCCTTGTTATATAACAGAAGAAGAGGAAACTCAGGTCAATGCCTTGCTTGTCTAAGATCACATAAGCCTACAAATTATTATGTGGTTCAGTTAATACATAGTTTGTGATAAATTGGTCACGTAAAATAAGAGAGAAGGCAAGACTCTGCAAGTGTGAAGAGCAAAGAACTCAAGAATGGACAAAGAGCCTTTGACTCTTTTCCCAGTTTTGCTTTCTTTCATTGTGGTAGGCAGAATAATGACCCTCCAAATATATAGCTGTCCTAATCCTTATAACCTCTGAATATGTTAGGTTACATGGTAAAGGGGAAAAGAGTTGAAATGGAATTAAGACTGCTAATTAGCTGAATTTAAGACAAGGAGATTATCGTGGATTTTTCAGGTAATAAAGGGGTCCTTACAAATGGAATAATGGAGTCCTGGTGGTGCAGTGGTTAAGGCATTCGGCTGCTAACCAAAAGGTCAGCAGTTCAAATCTGCCAGCCACCCTGTGGGAGAACGATGAGGCAGTTTGCTTCCATAAAAATTTACAGCTTTGGAAACTCAATGGGGCAATTCTACTCTGTCCTTTAGGGTTGCTATGAATCGACTGGATGGCAGTGGGTGTGGTAAAAGTGGAATAGGGAGGTAGAAGAGCAGAGAGTTAGAGTTAAGATGTGACTATGGAAGAAAGGCACTGAGAGATGCAACACTGCTGACTCTGAAGATGAAGGAAGGAAAGTGGGTGGCCTCTAGGAGCTGGAAACAATAAAATAATAGGGCACTCTCTTCCTCATCACTATATAGAGAAACAAAGCCCCTTCATTTATGGTCATTCTTATCATCTGCAAAATATTCCTAGTTTGATGGAGTATTCTGGTTTTTTTTCTTAATAAGTAGTGGTAAAATATTACTGGCTCCACTTCACAACAAGGAATCGTACCTGACAGCTGCCTCTCTGAAGCTATCCAACTACTTCTAGTTCCTAGTGAACCAAGGATGCTCATCAAAGGTCACTGGGAACTATTTCTCCATATTCATTTCTTTCTTTTTTTTCCTCTCTCTCTCTCTTTTTTAAAGTTTATTTATTTATTTATTTTCTATTGTGATTTGGGTGAAGATTTACAGAGCAAATTCACTTTCCATACAGCAGTTTACATATACTTTGTGTCATGACATTGACCACAGTTTACCACAATGCAACAGCTCTCCTCCCACTTCCTCCCCATTGTTACCTCTTCCCAGTGTCCATCCCTCCATGGACTCCTGCTCCCTGAGCTGTCTCCCTGTACATAGGCAGCCCTTCTTTCTCAATGATCGTTCTCTCCAAGGAGTGTATCCACCTCAGGGAAATGTCCAAATTCATTTCTACCTTTATCACTTTCTCACCTCTTCCACACTCCCAGAGCCAGTCTTATCAGATGATGCTGATTGCCTGAATAAAACCAGAAAAAAACAAACTCACTGCCTCCAATTGGTCCAGACTCATAGCGACCCCTCCTTGGATTTCCGAGGCAGTTTTATCTCTACAGAAGTAGACTGCCCAATCGTCCTCCCGAGGAGTGGCTGGTGGGTTTGAACTACTAGCCTTCTGGGCAGCAGTCAAACGCCTTAGGCACTATACCACCAGAACTCCCAATTGCCTGAACGGATGATGCAAACTATTTTTGGATAGCTTTTCCTTCACAGAAATCACAGAAACTCAAGAGCATGAGCAAGGCAGTTCTTAGTGAAGATGCTTCCTTGGGACCCATCCCTATGGGGGACGCCTGTTGTTGCCGTGGAACCACATGCTCTTGAAAACCCTGCTTATGACCCTGTGGTTTACTCCTGGTTTCTTTTGTATCCAAGTTCTATTCCTTGACAGTGCTATGGTATCCAAGATGTTCTGAGAAGGTGTTAACTTCTGGTTACCAAGTAATTGCAATTCATCTGATCACTCTGGCCTGAGCTGGTGGTCATCCATGGCTCAGTTTGATGATCGGAAGCAGTAGTTCCTAACCTTTTTTCCCATTTTGAAACACTTGAAGGGTGATGTTCAAATGCATTGCATACTTCCAGAGGCATACACAAGGTTATACTAGCAGAAGCAATAACTCTATCCCTTTCCTTCTCACTCAAGGGAGCCTACTGGATTCAAGATGAGCAAGACTGACATTATTATGGGATCAATTTGAATGCTCCAATTCATAAAAAAAAGTTAACTATTAACCAACTTCAGTACTCTAGTAGTAAAAATTTAGGGGTGACATATGCCATGCTTCACAAATGACTGTACATCAGCACAATGCAACAATCTAGAGATTATAGTTATACCCAAGTTTAAGTTACTTGTGCAAGTGTGAAAATACAAGATAAGATACTGAGAGATCAAGAAAGTCCAACTCCAAGAGGTAGCATGAGAGAGGCTTCTCTGGCTATATATATAGCATATCATGTCTCAGCCTGATTAAAATAAAATCAATAGTTTTTGTTTGCAGAGGGCTGCTGAGGGGGATTAGGGAATTTTGTGATGAAGATGTAGGAAACATAGTAGGCACCCAAACACTTGTTGAGTTTTGAAAACATTCTCAAGTCAAACAGAGCCAAATGGATTTTGCTGTGGCTATGAAAGCCTTCCCTTCAAAACAGTAAAGACTTTCTCTTATTCAAACTCTGTGTTGGTGATTGGTACAGCATTGCATTCATCCAAAGCCAGTGATTCTTAAAGTGTTGTCTGGGGATACAAAGTTCCCTGAGACTCTTTCAGGTGATCTTCAAGGTCAATCTATTTTCAAAACAATACAAAGATGTTATTTGTCTTTTTCAATCTTACTGAAATCAGTCTCACAAGTTACAAAAGACAAAA